CTAGTAACAAAATATAAATTAAGAACTTTAGCAAATAATTTTAATAGAACAATTAATTTTTTCTTATAATTACTTATCTTTATTTACAAATAAATAAGAATGGAAACGGTACAATAATATTGTTTCACGTTAAATAAAATAAATTTTAAATATTACAATTAATTTTTTAATGTCCAATTGATTAACTTATAGTTATTAAAACATTAATAAAATTTTCTAATGTTTACTAAAATAAAAATAATGAAAATAAAATTACTATTATAATATTATTAATATATTAACTTTTTATTACAAAATTATTGTATACAAGTTTTTATTTTACTTTTCAAACACACTTAAGAAAATCATCTTTAATGCGTATTAATAAATAAACCCCAATAAAAAATTAAATATATTAATTTTTATTTAAAAATTATAATAAATTTTTTTATATATTAATATTTTTAATAATATAAATTATTAATTTCTTGTACTGTAATGTTAAAAAAGTCATACATAATAGTGTTTTGAAGTGTGTCTAAAGTAAAATTTCAATAAAAATTATAAAACCTGTCAAAAATTAATATATTAACAGTATTGAATATTATAATTTTTAATATAAATTTGATATTTATTAATATTTTACGGAAAAAAGAAGGTTTCGCTATACAAAAGCTTTGGAGACAAGACGAAGCAAAATTCCTGAAAACAATGGTCGCTCTAATTAAGAGTTAAAGACAGTTCCTGACTTCCTTACGTCAATTGTCGAGGTGGGCCCCTTCTCCAATTTCCAAGGACCCCACCTGTTTCTCTCTCCCACACTTTATTTTTTTGTTGTTTTACTCTTATTTTATAAAAAAAAATACTTAATTAATATCATAATAATATTAATTTTAAACTTAGAGATGTTTTTTTTATTAAACTATATCATTAATATATTATTTTTGTAAATTTTTAATAAAAAGTACGCTTATTTCATTAATCAGCATTTAAAATAATACTTATTAAAGAATTTAAATATTTTTCATATTATTAGATAATTTTTATAAATAATATATAATTATTAATATATTTTTGTCATATTTAAAAAATATTTTTAAATTATATTATTTTTTAATTTTTATAATTTTAATTATTGAGAAATTTATGTCAACAAACATTTATATTCATCTATTTTATTTTATTTATAAAAATAATTTTCAACTTTTTTAAATTATAATTAAAAAGCTCTCAAATTAGATCTTGAAATGGTTAAAGTCAAATATTTTAATTTTTAAAAAATAAAATATTTTTAATGTTTGTCCTTTAATTTATTAAAAAATATTTTTTATTTTTTATTTTAAATGTAATAAATATATTTTTTTAATAAAAAGTACTTTTATGCATTTAAAATTAATTTTTAACTTAATAGTTATTTTTAAAAATTAAAATAATTATTAACAATAAATAAATAATATAAAATATTTTATTTTATATATTATCTCTTTTTTGTCGTCGTAGGGAAAAATGCCTTCACTTCCTTTCTTTTCCTGTCCACCGCAATCGGCGACCACCATAAACGGCCGCGTCACATAATCATTATGGTGACTGAACTGTTCCACTTCTTATTCAACGTAGCAAACATTTTATACACTATACATTCTACCCGTCATTAATGATTCTCGACAATATCACAATTTATTTTAAATATCATATAATTCATTTTAAAGCTTTAAAAAATCAAATGAAATTTTGTTTTGAAACTTCATTCTAAATTATAATTTGTATTCAATAGTTGTAAAGTCTGAGCAGCAATTTAAAATTAGTTGTTATTGATGCAAAAGTCATTTTTTTTATGAATTTAGACAAAATAATAACATATCACACTTTTATTAATTATTAATAAAAATTTAGAATAAAAACTTAATTTTAATTAATTAAAAAATTATAAGAGATGAAGGTGACAAATTAAAACTTAGAAAACTAAAACAATATAAAAATTAAAATAAAAGGAATAAAAATATATAAGCTAAAAGAAAATCAAATCCACTCCTAATACTTACACATATATCATTGTATAATTATACACTTTTTATTTAATTACTGTAAAATTAAAATTATATTTTACTTAGTCGAGCGTACACCCACTAAATTTATGTCTTTAAGCTAGTGCAGAGATTGATGCAACTTAATTCCCAAACAATTAAAGGTTACTTATATTACGTTTAAATGCAAGTGAGTCACAATTAAAACACTTAAGCATTTCTATAATGTAAATATAACGTGGCATTTGCTTCATAATTGCTAAATATTTTTGAAATTCTTAATGTAAAAACCGAGTTAATGATAATGATATTATCTATTAATTAGTGCATGAAAAATAGATTAGGGATGTTTGTCGAGTTTCAGATAACCTTCGACTCAGTAGGATTGTATATATTAGTTATAAATATATAAAAAATATATGTAATATATTTTTTTACAGATACCATCGTCAATTACAATATCGTCCAAGCGATTAAAACCATCTAAAATAAAAATAGGTAAAATTGAAGAACCACACAATTTGGAAAATCAGCCCATTCTCCAGCTAAGTATCCTTTTTGGAATGTTTCCATGTTTTTCTTTTATGTGGAGGCATTGTATGACCGATGAATAAATACAAAAAAACAGAATTAATTAGTCTAAGTCATGTTTATTAACATATAATCACTTTTTAATGTCTTGTTTGGTGAAGAAGGAGAATTGACAAATGATTGACCTCCCCCCTTTTGGTTTCTCTATTTGCAAAATATGGCTTGGCCTTTAATTACTTGCTATCAGTGACATTTATAAATAGAATCAAACCATTTTAAATCATAAAACCAAACAAAATAAAAATAAAAATCTGATGACTTATTGATTGAAAGTTTTTTGAAAGATCACTTACTTTAGTTTGGGTTGTTTTTTTTAATCTGATAATTAAAATTGAACTAAACTAAATCCAATCGTAACTTTTATTTATTTTTTATATATATTTTTATTTTTAATTCTCGTGTACATAAATAAAAAATATATTTAGGTAGATTGTTTACGAAGGACCTTGAATACGTCTTGAATCTGATTAGTCAAAAATTTATAATAGAATTACAGATAACTTCGTAATGGAAAAATCTTAAATTTAAAATTAAGTAATGGTCATGGTCAAAATACTCATTGTTTTTTTTATATATCAGTTTTACTATATCTATCAATTGAATAAATGGTTTCTTTGACTTGATAAATTTCAAAACGTTACAGTGGGATAGAAACAGTCAAAATGAAATGTTGAACTTGACTGTTTTTATTGGTTGGTAGAAGTATTCATTTTTATATAAGACGAGCTTAAAAAATCTTATACATAATCGTTCTGTATATTTAGATTGACTATGAAAGACTCCATTAGCTATAAGGTATTTGGTTGCGATTTAGAAAATGAAAATTTAAAAATATCTATGTTCTATAAATTGGTGAAATATCATCATAACTAATTTATGTCATTTTGGTGCAGATGTAGTATTGTTAACTATATTATATGATGAACGAAATCTATTTATTATTTCATGATTAATAATACATAAAGTATCACTAGAAGAACAACATCAAGGACATATATACTTCTAGAAATCATTACAAACTCCTACTACACAGTTTTTTTTTTTTATTCCAGATCAATGATTATAAACTTTTTAATATCATTGTATTAGTTTCATGGAAAAACTAACACTGGAAATGTGCGCATATTATATACAAAGCCATATAAAAGACACATAAACTATGTGCGCGTTTGTTTCTCGATATAAAATATGCTAATGATATATTATAGTTTTTGTTTAAATTCCAATCATACTCGGGAGTAGAGTTTTAGAAAGAAGAAACAGTTTTGCTATGAATATTTTATCAAAATATATGAAATTTTAATGAGAGGAAGGTTACACTTACAATATATATATATATATATATATATATATATATAAGAAGAAAGAGTTTTGAAGCACGGGAAATGGCTGAACTTTGATGTATACTGATTCTGGGAACCATCAGAGGAAACAATAATAATGAGTTCCAAAGGCAGAGAGAGAGAGAGAGAGAGAGAGAGTGATGACAGAAAAAGAGCTAAGGATTAAGGATTATGGAGTGAGGGTTTTGGCCAATAAGAGAAAGACAGAATGTGTTCTTATTTGCAGGCTTTTGGGATAGAGAAGAAGTATAGACATACACATAGCTTGGGTTAAGAGGGAGAGGAAGCAAAGCATGGTAGTCTTCAATAAATGGGGCCCTCAAAGACTAGTGTAGGGCCCACATCACCGCCCATGCGCACGCTGTCTTTCTTACCAAAATCAAACCCATCATCCATCATCGATCCGATTCCTTGGACCTAACCCTAACCCAACAACGCAGTAATAACCCAAATGGTTCGAACCAAAAACAAAAAAAAAAAAAAAAAGGAAAAAGAAAAGAAAAAGAAAAAAAATACCAAATACCACCACCATCCATCCATATCCATCCTAAATCCCCCTTATTAACCCAACACAAAAGCACCCCAACTCGTTTTTCTTCCCCCCTTTCCCTTTCTTAGAACTCTTTATTACCTTATTTCCTCCAAACCTTGAACTACCACTTCCTTACTTAAAGGTAGCTTAGCTTCATGTGCCAATCATCAAGTTAACCAAGCACCTCCGAGCATAGAGATCATCATCAGCAAATGGTGGTTCATTCAGCTCAAAATTCGGTGGGGTTTTGCAAAAACAACCTTCCCATTTATTTTTTCTCTTTCCTTTTGTGTTGAAGGTAAGTACTAAGTAGCATGCTTCCAACACCTTGCTAGCTACCTCTTCTCACTCCTCAAAGTAACCAAAACAAAGAAACAAAAGAAAATCGAACCCCCTCAAAAGGAGAAAAAAAACAACCACTAGCACCTAGATCCCATCTATCTCACCTTTTATCCTTCCAATTTTCTAGCTTGGAACTTTCTTGACTTGTGGGTGTTCAGTGCTCAAAGGGACAATCTAGGGTTGTGATCAATGGATCCTGTAGCAGCACAAGGACGTCCTCTCCCTCCACCCTTTCTCACTAGAGATCTTCACCTACACCCTCACCACCAATTCCAACCCCACCACAACCACCAAAACACTGAAGAAGAAAGTGCTAATGGCCGTGGCCAGAAGCGAGATCGAGAGGACAACACCGCGGGTGGCGGTGCCAACACTCCTCCCCACGGCGGTATGGAAGGCAAAGACCCTGGGTCAGGAGAAGGAGGAGGAAGTGAAATGTCAAGAAGACCAAGAGGAAGACCGGCAGGGTCCAAAAACAAGCCCAAACCACCCATTATCATCACAAGAGACAGTGCTAATGCTCTCCGATCCCATGTCATGGAAATTGCCAACGGTTGTGACATCATGGAGAGTGTCACCGCCTTCGCAAGGCGGCGACAACGCGGTGTTTGTGTCCTCAGCGGCAGCGGCACCGTCACTAATGTCACCCTGCGGCAACCGGCCTCGCCGGGTGCTGTCGTGACCCTTCATGGAAGGTTCGAGATTTTGTCCCTGTCCGGTTCATTCCTGCCGCCGCCGGCACCTCCGGCAGCGTCGGGACTAGCCATATACTTGGCTGGAGGACAAGGACAAGTAGTTGGTGGAAGCGTGGTGGGACCCCTTTTGGCTTCTGGCCCTGTTGTTATCATGGCTGCTTCATTTGGTAATGCTGCTTATGAGAGGTTACCCTTGGAAGAAGAGGAAACTCCAGTTGCAGTTAATAGCACAGGAGGGTTAGGGTCCCCAGGGATTGTGGGAACACAGCAACAACCACAACCGCAATCACAACAACAACTTGTGGGAGATCCTAATAGTTCTCTTTTCCATGGAGTGCCTCAGAATCTTCTCAATTCGTGTCAATTACCAGCAGAGGGTTATTGGGGTGGCAGTGCTCGCCCTCCTTTTTAACAAAATGTTTTAATTTCATGTTTTTTTTATGGGTTATCTTTGTTTTCTTTTTATTTAATTCTTGTTCATGTCTTCTTTTTTTAATTTCTACTTTCTCTTTATGTTCATCACTGTTCATTCTCCTTCTTCCTTAATTATAACTTAGTTTACGCTTAATTGAAGTCTTTGATCCTGGTATTGATCAGTGTTGAGTTGAAGAAGGATGTATAAATTCATGAATTTTTTGTGGGGTTTGATGATTATAACATATCTAAATGTTTTTTCTCGTTCGTAAATTGTGGCTTCAAGATGCAGCAGCATCTAACGTGTGCTCTCTCTCTTTCCATGTTCTTACTGCAATTTTGGTACCTTGTCTGATAATTTATCAGTCAATCTTTGCAGGAGGAGGAAAAGAGAACGGTTTTCTGTTTTCTCTTTTTATTATTTATTTTACATTTTATTTTCCTTTGTGTCTTATTTCCTGTTTGGGGGGGTTTTCTAGGACTCTGAGATTCAGATTCTAATACACGGTCTAAAAATAACCCCACAAAAAACATAATTTATATAGATATATGAAATGTTCAAAATTTTATCTATATCAAGAAAAAGTTTAGGACACAATAATTAGCATCCTTTGTACTTAGAACACACTAACTCATCCATCATTACCATTCACTCTCACTTTCTCTTCTACTAACATCCATCATTACATCCAAACTCCCACTCTTTCCACACCCATATTCTCAAAATTAGCACCATCATTGCTCTATTGTTTCATGAATAATATATTTTCTCCTTTTTAAAGCATCATACTAGAACACTACCCCGTTTTATCGGTGCAGTTAATTAAATGTTTAGATTATTTTAATATTAAGTTGATAACTCTTAGAAAGTAACAGGTGTTGGACAGTAAAATTCATGCATTTCAAGGAATAAGGAGAATGGGGGGTTATGGGCTTCACTCTGTTTGTCTGTCTCTCTGTGATTAGGGTTTATTATGGAGGCAGAGATGAGCATTGGGTGTTGGGTCACACGTGCGCTGCTCTGTGGAAAAAAAAAGGTTCCTTTTCGAGGCAACAACTAGAACAAACAGACCTCAAGAGCTAGCAAGCGTTAAAGCCTCCCCTAAAGTGCCATTGGCACTAGAGAAATAAAAGGGCTGCAAGTAAAATCGAAGTTTGAGGTAAGTTAGTATGTAATTTCATATTATAATATATATTATTATAATAATTTTATTTTTAAATGTGTATTTAAAAACACACGTCAAGAAGTATTAAATATTATATTCAAAATTTTAAATCATAATAAAAATAAATATATATATTTATAAAGAAAGAGGGAAGAGAGATAAATAAACTCAGAGTTTTGTCTTGATTATGGAATAGATGCTCCTTGAAACCCTAGCTTTCTCTGCTTCTTTCCACTGCTATTCCACCAATGCCAACATGTTCTTTGTTTATTAATATCCATCTTTTCCTTGGATTCTATTCTTAGCCTTGTCCAGTTCCTCTAGCTGATGAGTTTTTCTATAGATCAGCACTTCCCAAAGATCATTCTCAATAAAGAACACTGTCTGGAAAAGTCTACATAGAGCATTTCTTGTGTTAAGGGTGCCATTTTGGACACATACACAGTCACAGTGTTCATAGTTCTTCGTCAAAACAGCATGCAATAACATATATTTGCACTTGCGATTACTTGTCTTCAACGGATAAATTTAAATTCTCCAATATCATTTTGCTAATTCTCCTTCTTGCACGTTAAATGAAGAAAATGTTAATTTTTAATATATTAAGATGTTAGTAAAATGTATTTATTTTTCATTCAATACTTTCTTTATAAAGCTAGAATCTATTTTTTATAATATTGTATGAGGTTACATATGTAGTATTTCTCTTCTTCCATATACATATATATCCTATGACTTATGATAAAACTTATATCTGTAAATAATCTGCATTGAATTCAACAAACAATTTTTTTGTTGAACCTATATACGGGTCTTAGGCTAAAGAAAAGAAACAGAAGAATCTTAAGCTCGTCAGCACTTTTATTAGAGTCCTTTCATTTAGAATCAGAAACTGCCCTTGTGTAGTGGTTTCAAAGAGTATTTTTACTTTTCATTTTTTTTGTACCGATAGCTAATTAATTATCACTACACTTCTAGCTAGCTTAGAGCATCAAAACCCTGGAATAAATATCGACACGTAGCTTTAGTTATATCATGTTCTTTATCTTTCTTAATTTGATATGCTTATTAGCTTTTATACATGTTTTTAGATCTGTAATGTGCATATTGGTGGACCATGACTACTGTGCTTTAGATTAGGTGATTATACCTTTCTACCTCATCATGGTGTGCATCACTTGGAACTTGGAACCACATTATAATAATATGCAACTTATAAGAAAATAAGATTCTATTATGATGGATATCTTTCTTCACTTCCTTGTTTACCCATAAATTCGTTATCTTGTTGATAAACTTTAGGGTATATAATACGTAGATCAAAGTTGACATTTTCCAACTCCATTAACATTATCTATAACCAATTTCACTACCTTTATGTAGTGTTGTTCTTCTTCTCTGCACAAATTTGTGGATGGTATTCCTGTGATATTGAATAGAGGACAGGTATACGTTATTCTAGATTGTGAAAGATATTAAAAATAAAATTATAGAATTAGAGGATTAGGAGAAAAATAGACTTAAAGTGTAGGATTAATTTTAATATAAAACTCAGTTCATGCGATTGTTATGTTGTTTGTTATTGTTATTTATTATTTCAGTAATGTAGCCTGCACAATTTTAATTGGATTCACAACGAAAAAAATATTAAGGCATATTTTCAAGTTCAATTTTTTTTTTTTTTGCAAATTCGGATAAAATATCTATAAACTAAACTGGGCAGCAGCATCATAAATATATACAAGTATTGTGTAGATACCATTTTTATGTGGTTTTGCAGCTTAATCTTTGAGTAACTAAAAAACATGTTTTAGTTACTTCTTGAAAATTAACATCCTTTAATTTAAAAAAATTGAAGAAAATACGATGTATCTTTCATATGTAATATGAACTATGTAGATAAGAATAAATGAATAATGCACAACTTAATTCCAAATATTTTGTTAGTTTTATATTTTACAAGGAGATGTTATTGAAATTAGGGCAAGTGAAGTCTTTCAATAAGGTCCTTTTATCCGGAACTATATTTATTACTTTAACAGTTCAAGTTAACATTTTCATGATTTAAAGGCTTATTGTGTAATAAATTTTTTAAAATGTTTTTTTTTCTAAATATACTATTGAACTTAAATTTTTATGTAAATTTGTAAACTTGAATTTATCAAAAAAATGAAAATAGAATTTTAAAATATTATATTATCTTCATCATTAATTGTAGATACTGTTGTTAGTTACTATTATTATTTAAATAAACCTACCTACTAGGTTTAACAATTTTTTTTGAATGGCCCAAATTTTAATTTTTTAAAAACTAAATTAACTTTAAAGAATCTTAACTTAACCTATCTAATAAGTGAATTTGGTCGAGACATGATGCAGTTTAGGGCAAAGGTTCTCGACAAACAATTTGACTTATTTTCACTATTAATTATAAATTCAAAAATGTTTAATTTAGTTAACATATTTCATTATAAATTAGTTTATAAATTTGAAGAATTAATGATAATATTTTTTGAAAAATAAAAAAATACGTTTTTTGGACAGTGATATTTGCAAAACTATTTTGTTATTTTAAATTGTACATTTTATTGTTTGTGATCTTGTGATTATATATCTAATATTAACGTTAGTGTGGTTAGCCAGCAACAAGTAATTGAATATGAAAAAAATAATTTTCTTTATGGTTATAAAAAGAAGCTCTAAGTATATTTACTTATTTTTTGAAAAATAGGTTCGATGGGTTGACCTGCTAATGATTTGGATTTCACAACAAAGTTGATAGTGTAAAAATTTTAGTCTAGCTTGCCATTTTTTCGACAGGTTAAATGGACCTGCCCGTTAAGTTATGTCTATTTTACTACTTTTAACCACTCACTGATAAAAATATAGTTTTGTCTTGTACCTTGAGATAACTCTTTTTTAGTATGCTTCATAAAATGAAGGTGTTTCACTTTAGGGTCTGTTTAGATATAAAGTTTTCGAGGAAAAAAAAAAGATTATTTTATATTTTTAAATTAAAAAAATATAATATTTATAAAAATAAACACAATATTAAAACATTAAATTTATGTTAATTGGTTATTTTATTTTTATTTTTAAAATGATTCATTTAAAATTAATTTTTTTAAATATCTTCTTTTTCTCTCTCTAAAAATTCACTTTCAATTATATCCTTACAAGATAGGTTTGTGCTCTTAAACGAGTAAATAGTAAGTTATTTTAAAAAAACGTTGGTACTCATGATTCAATTTTACTTGGGAAATTTGTAATTTAACTTTATATATGCTTTCAGTTCATGAAAATGGCAACAAGTTATCATACACATTCTGAGTTTGAATTTAGAAATGATATATTATACTATAATATAATTTTATTAGTATAAAACATTAATACACAATAAGCATTCATATTATGCTAATTTCATATGATGTTTCCAATTATGCAACCATAAAATAATTTAAATTTAAATCACCAATTCACACCTCTTATAATCGGACTTCTAGAATATTTTTAATGTGAGACTCAAATCCTATACTTTACAGTTAAATCTTAACGTCAACTTATAGTTTGTATAAATTTCTAAAAAGTTCTTATAGAACAAAAAAGTTAATATAAATAATAACACTTTTATCATAAATTAGAAAACATTTGTATTTCTTTTAATTTATGAAAGAAATTTTATTTATTTTTTCTCAAACAACTCTAAAATTTGATTCAAACTATAGCTAACTATATTTTCATTCTATAATCTGTTAACTTACTAAAATACATGTACTATGTGCTTTGTAAGTATCCCCGCCTTCACCTTCTGATTCAACAGGCACCATCATTTTCTACATCTTCTACGTGAAACAGATTTAGTGGACCTTTGAACTATAAGGGTCTAGCAAGATTGTACGATCACTTTTTCAAAACTAATTGATGACAAAGATCATGTTAACTGCAAGCTAGATGTTGGAGATCTGTGGCGATTGATGAACACAGTGGTTGCCATTACACTACGATTAGCAACATATGAGAAATTGCAGGTAGATATACACAACCACGATTGTGACATTATAGTAAATCCACACACTAACAATCATACATCATTAACAAATGATTATATTTATATATAAAAAATTAGCATATATTATCAGTATATCAAATATTAGTATAATAAGTAAGGGAAAGAAGAATTATGTTTGCTCATAATAGTTTTACTTGTCTTGAACAAGATTGTTTCCAGTAAAAGATATATGTAATCTAGATAAAAATAAATAAATAGTATAACATATCATGTTGTTAGAATAAATTAATGAAATTTATAGTAAATTTAAATTTTATCAAACAAAAGTTATATTAGTGAAAGCAATCTTAGCAATATTAATAATTGTTTTGTTAATAAATTAATCTAAGCAATACTTTAAATCATGTAATTAACGAGGGAGAAAGATAAGAGTTTTTCTTTGGGGGAGGGAGGGATGAGAGAGGAAGGAGAGGTATGGATCTCATCTTTATCTCTTCTTCTTTTGGTATAGTAGGTTCATTGTATCTCTTAAAATAGGAAACGAATATGCATACGACGAGACAAGTTCTGAGACAGAGTAAATTAAAATATTGGGAATTTATAGGTTGAAGATTTGTACAAGTGTGTTTGGCCATCTCAGGTTGCACTTACATGTTCATTCCTCACGATCTGATTTTTCAATTTGGTGGCAAATGAAATGGACTAATTTTACTTTGATGGAGAAATAAAAAATGTGAATATATAAACAAAAGAAATTGAAATTTAGTTATGTAGAGAGACACTTTCCTTAAGATATCACACATTAGTTAGAAATAGGATGCAAATACTTTTTATAAAATTAAACATTTTTTTCTGTAAATCAAATTTTGAAAGTGAGTTAAAGTGGTTAGAAATTAAGCATATGTGAAGAAGCTATACATTAAGTAAAAATAGGAAAGTTGAATGATATATAAGTAACAATTACTTAGAACCTACTATTTTAATCAAATTTGCTTATATATATGGTTCACTCTTGACCAATGATATAAGAGATCCCTGATTTGCTAAAAACTCTTTATTTTTTCTAACAAAAACTAATTTTTTTAATTAGTATAGTATGTTCAGTTTTAATGTCAGATCACCCACAACCTATATGATGTAAGCATGAAGAGTTTAAAATGAGGGAAAGAAGTTCAAATTATGGCATGATCCTATGACATAGAAAGAGAAACGCATGAGAAAAGGTGGATAAAGGAAAAGGGGGGGAAAATGAAGTATTTGGCCTTCCAAATTAAGGGAATCTAGTTCTCACATTTTCAGACAATAAACAGTAACTTTATCCATTTGGCATTGTTTCAAGCCTGCCCTCCTCTCTCACGTGTTTGTAGGTGTATGCTTGTTGTTATGAGGTATCATAGATGCATTTGAAAGTGAAGAAGTGTTCTGTAGCTGCAATCCATCATCTCTTTATTCTGCTAATGGACTATGTTCAATCAAACATGTCTTAGACCTATCTTCAGACTCCAATAGCAGCCTTCACAAATGTGGCAGCAACTTAGCTAAGTTGGATTGGTGATCCATCACCAACAACTTCCAAATACCCTGCATCAGTCCCTTTAACTGTTGTTCTCTACGCTTTTGGGTTAGTTCAACTGTAGCTTTGGATCTGATAGGGGATGCATATAAGTAGTGTAAAAATATATTACTATATAAAAGAAGATTTATATGATGCATATAAGAAGATTTTACATTAGTTAAATTTTTATCTTAAAATTCAGTTGATATACTAAAAAATTCTAAGGACTCATTCGGTGCAAACGCCCCACCGTTGTAACTTGATGATGGATGCTGCTTCAGTATTGTGAGCTGCATAGAGTAATAAAGGTGAAGTATACCTAAAAAGATATTTTAACGCTTTAATTTCTATTTGCATGAGCAGTGTAACAACAATGGAATAAGGTCTTAATTAATGTAATGAGGTTGGCTCCTTGTAAAAGTTTGAGACGTGGGTGACACATAGTTACATTGTTACTTAGTATGATCTAATTTCGAAATGTAAATTTTTTTAAAAGTGTTTGTTAAGATACAGTAAGAATATTTATATTATATTCTCTTTCAATTAATAATAATAATTTTACTTATATTTTAAAAATTAAAATATATTTATATTTTTAAAATAAATTATTAACTTTATTATTTACTAATATATTATTAAAAGTGATAATTATTTTACATGTAAAAAAATAAAATATTCTCTTAATTGATAAGGTACTTATAAATTATTAAATTTTAAAATTAAGATAAAAAATATTATACGTAGCTATAATTTCTTAAATTAACTGTATAAAATCTTAAAATTTGCATACATTTATTAATTTTTAATAAAATTTTACTATTATTAACTGCTTATCAATTAGAGTTAAGTTTAACAAAATCCATAAATTTCATGCCCAATGTTACGTTGAGTTATCGATGATCCTTAATTAGGCATCTTTCAACTTTGGATGAGAGCGAGGGAGAATTTAGACAAAAAAAGACACTTGTTGCAATGAAATGAAGTTATTGTAATTTAATTTATTTTTTATGCTTATAGATATGTTTTGAATTAGTTCTTATAAAAGAAACTGTTAATATTTGTTTATTAACATTTTAAAAGAGTAAAAAAAAAAAAAAACAGTTCCAATTAAATTTTAAAAACTTTTATAATAATAAGAACTAATTTTATATCCTTTTAAAATGTATATGTAGAATGGTAAAAATTAAATACTATTTTTTTTTATAAAAACTAAATCTAAAAATAATTATGGGAATAAAAAACTTATTTGAACTTAAAAATAAATTACTATAACATAATGTTACATTTAAATAAGTATTCCATAAATAATACTATTGTTCTATTCTTATCTATCTATCCAAATTAAAAGAGAAGAAATTACACAGATTAATAAATTCAATCATTTTATTAAAATTAATTCTTAAACTTATTAACTTACCTTTTATTAATGGGTCTTTGTCTCTTGAACAACTAAAATAGTTTTAATTAAAATATATTTACAGTGTAACAAAATCTTATTTGTCATCTAATTATCTATTGTCATCATATCAGTAAAAATTATTGACTTTTATTATAATAAATTTTATATATAATTTGTAAATATAAATTCTTAAATAAAAATATTTTCATAGACTTTCTCAAACGAGAATACTTTTAGAATTTAGTTCTCTCACCATTCCAAATAATTTTTTTGTATTAATCATTTATTTTTAATTTCATATTAGTTTAATCTTTATTTTGTTCTTAATTTACTTTTTAATTTAAAATGTATCTTTATTTAAATTTATATAATAAAATATTTATAGTTAATAATTATAGTAATTACTTTTAATTATTTATTTAAATACTTTGTTTTAGTAATACTCGTAGTGTAAAAAACAAAACAATGGTTAATTTAAAAATATACTTACCATATATAATATTTAACTAATAATAAAAATATTTACATTAAAACTAAACTCGTAGTATTTACCATGTAAATAAAGTAGAACAAAATAATTTATCTCTACTTGTTCTACTTCACCTTTTATTATGAAACTAAAATATATCACTTTTTTTTTTAAAACCAAAATACATCACTTAAAAAACCCGTACCCTGTTCTGTTATATTTTAAAATATATCACATAAAATACAAAAGAAAAATATTTTACATTTCGTTATTTAAACTACTCAAGATTTAACATTCACATCATTATTTCCATCTCTTGTTATATATATATTCATCCAAAAACTTTCACTTTTAATAGTATATTAAAACTGTATAATACAAGCTATATAACTTATCTAAAAGCTTATAGCAGATAAAACTTGTAACTTTTAGCTTTTAAAAAGTTTAATGAAATAACATTCAACTTCTAGCTTATAAGTTATCAACAATATAATTTCATATTTACTCTTACCATTTTTAATAAATTACAAATTCTAAATCTATTTTTCTTCATTTAATTTTTAATATATTCATTTTAGTTGCTTAATATATTTCAATTAGTTTTATCAAATGACTTTAATTTAATCAATTCCTAATAAAATTATAAACTTTTGACTAACTTATCAACTATAAATTATACACTAAAAGCTTTCAACTAACTTTTGTCCAATACAGCCGAAATATCTTCCTTATTTTAAAACATATACATAATTGAATTGTTTAAAATTATTCTTCTTGTTCTCTTATAAAGATAGAGATTAAATAATTTAAAAGAATCAAACCCCGTTACTAATAAGCCTTGAATAAGAAACGCAAATTTCTAGCTCTTCGAAAATCAATTTCCCACGAGATAACACTTTTCGGTCATTATCGAATAGATTAATAATTTTCATTACCTGCACAAGTCAAATAATACAATATCGGGCAGCTCCATGTCATTTCGGGTAGTCAGAGTTTGACTACACCTTGTTTGATTGATCATATATCTTCAGCATCTCTCCCAAACCCAAAAACCTCGTTTCTTCTCTCCTCTATCTATAAGTCATTCTGGATCAGTGATGACTAAAAAGCCCAAAAGTACCTACCAAACCCTGCTTCTCTTGCACAAAACTAGCAAGGTATATAACTCCCCAATGCTCCATGTCAGATGAACACTGCAGGATCACTAGATCAGTCTCATCAGCAGTTAAACAAGAACAAAATATGAACAACCCCAGGAAAGATTTGCAATCAATAGTCTATACGTAAACGCCGTAATTCAGATTTGAAAGGCAGGATAGAACCGAGAGTCCCACGAGCAAGATTCCTTATGTCCTCTCGTGTACAATCTCTCGAAATTCGGACAAGCTCCCAAAGGGCACCTCCACTGATCATATCTTTTGCATTTACTTCTACAGTTTTCATTACCTCAATTGCTTTAGTTTTTTTAAAAATGCACTAAAAAACTCGAAACATGAGAAGACAAGGAGTCTCATTACCATGCTGTGCTAAGTGGCACAGTGCAAGTTCAATGTGACGCCTGATTGGTGTAGCTTCATTATTAGCATTCTGTACTATCCATGGAAGTGCGCCATCTTCTATCAGAAAAGACCTACCACTTTTTATCCCTGAGAATGCAAGATATAATTACGAGGCTATAATAACAATAATAATAGTAAAACTGATATATCATTCATTTCTCTTTCGTTCTAGAAATGTGCTAAATGGGGAAGCAGGCAAGCAGCAGAGTGGGGGAATTAATGGCAACGACTTGTTTAGAAACTAGAAACAAAAAGCAAACCTATCTTTAAAGTAAGTAAATGGCCCTTGATTGCAGCTGCGAAGCAACAACTTTGTCCATTTTCAATGAATTAACTCCAATACAACATTTTCACCATTGACAGTCAAATATTCAAAAGAAAGCAAACCTTGATTGGAAGCTCGAGACTCGCATTTGGCAAAATTGGCAATTCCTCGTGCAACTTGGGAAAGAACATCAGGATGTCCACATCTTACAATTCCCAGTATGGCCTTGATAGCTCCCTGGGATCTCAGCTTCATTAATATTTTATCTGGATTAAGAACCCAGACAAAATGGTGAATACTAGATATCCAGTGATGGAAATACGAAGATCAAGTCTTTCAATGTAAAATTTACAGATGAAAGCACAATTGTTTAGACGTTCAGTACACCTTGTTCAGTAGCTATCCATTTACACATATTTAACATCCATGCAAAGAAATAAGGGTTCTCTCTTCTCAAAATATGATCCTTTTGTCTCCCTACGGTACACATCTTAATTCAAGTGAAACACTGCAAAACAATAAATGATATGAACCTATCGTCCCTAGTTTATCTCAGATTGGGACATGGACCACAGACCAGCTTGACCCTAGAAATGCTACAGCAGGATGCAGGACGAAAACAATAATCACCAACTTGACAGGTCTTTTAAGTGTTTATTCCAAGGACAATATTTGGTAGATAAAATATATATTTTCAGAGATTTAGCAACACAAATGACTAGAAAACAAGTAAATGTACCATTTCCACATAGGTTAGCTATGGCACCAGCAACCATTCGAAGAGTTTGAGGTTCTTCAGCATCAGATGCAGCTATTGCTAACAAAGTGACTCCCCCTTCAGCCATTATAAGTTCTTGATTGGCTTCTGAATTGTCATGAAAGAATTCAAGAAAGCAAAGCAATATCAAAAGTAACATTAGCTGAATCCACAGAACCACTAACACCTAGCAATCGTAACAAAGTAGGAAGCACAATCCAGCTAGCTCAAACATTTATAAAAAAAATATGACTGCTAATGACGATCACCATTCATGGCAAGATTGGCAATTGCCCCTGCTGCCACTCTGCGGACAGTTTCATCATCATATCTTCTAAGAAGCATCAACAAGGAAGTAAGACCACCAGCTTCAACAATACTTTTTTGATTTGCCTCTGCATATTACATTGAAACAAATTATTCAACAAAATCTTCATATACTACCAAGAAGGTAAAAAAAATAGAAGGCTTGGGTATGAATGCAATGAAAACGTAAGTAAAAAGAGAAAAAAGAGGAAAATAGTCTGATGGGCAGGGATGTATGACTGCACTTCAATAACATTCATCCGCGCAAGAGACCAATTGTTTATACACAGCAGTAAGAATCCTTCCCACCCCCTCTTCAGAAATAGAATGACTCACGAATCACAACATCAATAGAAGATATTATGATGATGGAGAGGCTCATGGGGAAAATGGGGGAAGGGAAACCAAAACTTTTAAAACAAAGGCCATAAAATAATTTATTCAGAAGTTAATATATGAAATTTTCATGAATTCCAGATAAAATAACATGTCAAGATCCACTTTATTCTAAAAGATAGATATGTTGTAGGTCCATGAATGGGTTTGATTTATATGTTTAGCAAAACAGAATGACGACCCATATCTATATCAATGTCTCTATACTTAACATTGCAAAAGGATTGCCCTTGATGATAGTAAAGCAAAACGATGGATCAGCACTCGGTGAATGGTAAATTGAGCATCATAAACAATTGATACAGACTAGAGTAAATGTGCAAAACATAGGACAAACATTTAAAGCTATGATTGTCCCAAATAAAACAATGTTGCTAGCATGAATTTCACTCCTTCCCAGAGTTTGTACAATATGACACAGACATGCAACAAAAACAAGAATAAAAACATCAGATAATTACTCTCTTGAATCCACTACCACCTATCACAAAATTATCAGGATTATCATCACCACAATGTGCTTCTTTTCAAAGATTTTGATAGCCAAACATCAAAATACAAGTAGTACAAAGCACTGAAAGCAGAAGATCAAATAACAGCCTTGAGAAGAGGATAGCAACAACCTTCTGCTGCTAGGTTGGCCACCACTTTAACAGCATGAATTCGTACATTGGCATCATCAGACTCCAGCAAAGACAAAATCTTTTGCAACCCAACTGTCAAAATAACGTGTCACACATACAAGGATATTGTTAAGATTTAATTATAACTCAACCAAATTGCACCTTGCTCAAAGAGTGCAGCAAAAGATGCCTTCTGACCATTCCCAGTGTATTTGTGTTGAGAATGCCTAACTTGAGACATGGAAGAATCCATAGCAGGGGATGCATTTACAGAGCTTTCACTTTCTAAACATCTTCTCATCTATGACCATATCCATAACATTATTTATATTCGCATGAAGAAATTAAATAACACATGGCAAAGTTATGCTATAAGAACAAGGTAAATGCAGCTAGATGCTATTAAGTACATGAAAACTTGAAGTCACTCAACAATTATTCTGGTTTCAATATGGCAGCCAAACTTTCCAACTTGATGGCACTTAAAGAACTTTACATTGTACATGTTGATTATATTTGTAACAATTTTGTTAGTTTTTCTGTAATGATTATTAGTTTAAGACTGCTATCTTTTTACCATTCAATTCCTAAACTTGAGGGAATATAGTATCTGTGTAGCATATATATTCTTGTAATACCTTCATAATAATACAGAAAGTATATTTCCAGTATTTCAAATGTAAATAGTTGTCACAAATCACAATTGACAATATCATTAAGAAACTATTTCCTACTGCTTTACATTGTGTTCTGGTCGTCCAGAAGCTCTAAAATACAGATCGCTTAATGTGAAACATCAAGCATGTGCTGCATGTCATGATACAACTATCTCAAAAGCTTTAAGCTATTAGGTAAAGACACATGAATGGTTTTATATATATCTCTAACACAACCCCTCTCACAAAAGCTCGGACTTTAAGCATGAATAATGTTCAAGCCATCCCTCTGTGCTGTAATTCAAAATGTTATTAGAAGAAAATGGGCTAAGCAAGGATTGTAATCTAGACCAGTTGGTGTCATAAACCAACTAACCGAAAAGTTTAATCTGTTAGGCGAAGACATATGAATGGTATAGTATATCTGTAACAAAGCAGTTCACTGGGAATATTTGGCTCGAGAAATGAACTAGTTTCAAGGATGTCATTTTTCTCTTACATTTTTATGACTTCATTTGCTTCTTTGGTTGGTACTCTTTCAAGGGAGTTTCCATTACTTGGATGCAATGATATCGGTGATCCACATGAATACTTTAGTCACTTCTTCACGTATCAATATAAAAGGATTTCTTATGCTCTGCCAGTGGTACTTTACCTATTTTGTTTTAAGTAATTTTTTTCCTTGCATAAAAAAAGCCTTTAAATCCAGTAGGTGCATTGAATTACAACATATTCAAATATATGTGAAGCCAAATCATTACTTCATTAAGTGCATCCTAGGCTAGTCCTTATAATTCAAGCATATGTTGCACAGAGTCAAAAGCAATACAATACCTGATCAGCTTCAAAGTTCAATTGCAATAATTGACTACTTAATATTATTATTTCTTCTTCAAGTTTCTTTTCCTGATTAGCCCCATCCTTCAGAATGCTGTTAAGCTTTATCATCTCTGTATCCCCTCCTGTCTAGTACACAAAAACCCCCAATATAAAAGAAAATCAATACTTGAAAAATAAGAAGCCAGAGAAGCTTTTCATTGAAGTGAAATATGTACCTCTGTTCGAGTATATTTCTCCAGCAGACTTTTTAGATTTTGTACCTCTGCTTCAGCTGCTTTTCTCTTAACGCTTTCATTTTCAAACAGCTTTTTGACCTCAGCAACTTCATCTGCAGAAGACGGTGTAGGACCCTGTGCCAACAAAACCTTTAATATCAGGACCACTAACACTTAAGTGTTAACTAAAATATTGAATTTAGCACAAACCATGAAGATTGAAGCAAAGACAAGAAAAGGCAGGTGGGGTAGTATTTAAACAGGAAATACATTATATAAATATTGAAATATACAAGCAAGGTGAAACAAGTGGAAATTTGCCACATTGCAACAAATTTTGCTGTGGGTGCATCTTGAGTACATCAAAATAGTCAACTGATTTTTTCCATACAATCTACTAAACTTATACAATGAACTAAAACAATTGCACAGACACACACACACAACACAAACCAAAATGCTTATGAATATGAGTAATCTAGCATACCAATGGGAAATGGATAGAACCAAATGCAAAACAAAATTACAAATTGTTAGATAAAACATTCATTTGCAGATCTTATTCCTACCTAATAACAGAATTTGGGTATAATTGGTCTTCAAGCCAAAAGCGTCTTACATGAGGCAATGTGTTAGAGATATAAAAACATTCAAGGGATTTACTTTACCAAACAATCTAAGCTTTTAGTACTGGTCCTTGACACACATTAGCAACAGCAGTAAATTGTTGTTAAGAGAACAAACTTTTCAGAACAACGTTTGTATGGTTACTATTGATCAAAATGGAATACCTCTCCATGACCATCCACAAGCCAATTGCAGCCATGTCTTTCTCCACTTGAAACCAACTTCTGCTCCAGCTGCCTAACTGATGCCATGTACTCCATCTGGCATTTCAGTCTCTCTTTCTACAGGAAACAACTCAATATGAGACATTATGTGAAGATGAAAGAGGTTGTCAAAAACTTCAAACAAAATCAAGACTTATCAGACATGTTGAATCTACTGTAAAAGTACAATGTAGCCAGGGGTATTCTTGAACCATACAATACTGCAATTTTTGTAATTCAGAACTTGGCTGCAACCATGCCCACATTGCAAACCAGTGGCTTAGATGATGTGTTTCCAAGGTGTTAATATCAAAGAACCATCTATTTACCTCCATCTTTCCAGGTTAACTTCTTTCAATTAACACCCCCCCCCCCTTCAGATCTACCAGAAACCCTAATCTATCATACAAACTGTTCTAATTTCTAATTTTCTACACAACCTCAGATTTGCTGTTTGTTGTTGCTGTTAACAGCACAGAAAGGATAGGAAAAGACTCTAAATAAATGACCAAATGCTAAAGTAAGAATATCTTGGAACACATACTTTAATAACAATAACAATTCTATAGAGCATGTTAATAAAATTTATAAAGCATTTCAAAACTAGAAGATGTTATTTTTAGAAACAAGGTATCATGCTCAAGATAGTGCTATTTTTCTTTAGAAAATACACCAAACCTCTAACGCATCTGAAAATTTCCTTTCAACCTCAGCAACTCGGCTTTGTGCTTCCAAATTTATTCTTTCAACTTCATCTTCAAAAGCCTTCTGCTGCCTTTCATTTTCCGCAATAAGCTTATCTAATTGTACCTCTTGCCTCCGAGACAAACTTTTATAATCAAACTCCTCCTTTATTTTCAGCATATTCTCAACTTTCATAGCCTGAGACACAAATACACATCAATCCATCTTTTCCTCAAAGCCAACTATATCAATTCTCAACAAAGATTTTCATTTGAATTTGTTAATAATAATAATAATAATAATAATAGGGTACCATAGGGATAATATAAATAAAAAGTCATTCAAAGAATGTTATAAAATGAATTAAGTAAGATACTCCAAATTTTTGGGGTATATAAACTGGACAGAGCGTGCAAATTAAGACACAAGCACTAGCATATTAATGTATTGCACAAGGAATTGGGCAAATCCAAGTGCATGTTTGTCTCAATATAAGAAACAATTGCTTATTTTTGCTGGCTTCTTGAGAGAACCTTTGAAAAATAAGCTCTTTTCTCTCTAAGTTTAAGGGAATTCAAAAATGCTACAAGTCTGTCAAAGTAATGCAGGAATAATAACTGGCACATGAGACCACCAATATTGAGGTTGAGAAAACCATTTTTCAAAACACTTTTTTAATATTGACGTCAAAGCTACTTAACCTTGAAAATTATACAGTGAAAAGGGATTTAAAGGCATTTAAACTTTGATAAGGGGCTTAGTTATAAAACATTATAGAAATCCAACCAATCAACCTAAAGATTCTTTGCATGGAATAGGAGGCCCAATAACTAGAATAAGGACTAAGAGAATGTAACAAGCTTTGCAAAGCTTAATTATGGAGCTCAAGGAAAAAGAAAAGGCAATTTTGGGCCATGAGAATAAAGTTTAAGAACAAATGACAAATAAAATTGTGATTTTACTTGCTCAGACCCAAGTAGATGAAGACTCAATAAAATTGCAACCAAAAGAATTAACTTATTCAAAACATTTGAATTCTAATATGAGAATGCTTTGTTAGGATTTTCTATTAATTAAGAATATGTTTAAATTTGAATATTAAGATAAAGATTACCTTAGATTACACTAGAATAGAGATTTGAATTTTCTTATTTCTATAAATATGAACTATGTAAATTAGAGTAAACAAGTTGAATTTGAATACAATTCAGTTTTTTCTGAGAACTTTTTCATAGTTCTTAGATTAAGAATTAAATTTTATAATAGTGTTGGTTCTACTAGCAAGTTGCAACTAGGATCACGTTTTTTGATAACTATGGTTCTACCGGCAGGTTTTAAAGTCAAGTTCCTATCATTATTATTATTTACATACTTTCAAGACGATCCAGATTTTTTTCATTTCAGTGTTCATATTAAAATATGTTTTTGGTTCCTATAAATATATCACATTTTTCATTTTAGTCCCACTATAATTTGTCTTTTGGCTGGTATCCATTACTTATCCAAAGTGACTACTTTTAGTCCTTGCCATATATCAAAGATCCATTAATTGAAGACATGGCAAACCAACTCTAAAACTAAGTTTGCCACTTATCTGTAATGATCCATGTGGCATTAAAATTGTCCATGTAGGAGAAACAAAAACCCCATGTGATGTATCCAACAGTAATTAAGTGATCAGAACCCTCTATTCCCCTTCAATTTCCAACATCCAATCCTCTTCTTTTCTACTACCACCAATGACAAGTATTGACAACCATAATATTTAGATCCCTCATATGGATTGTGGTACTATAAACCAGATGAAAATTGTAGCTTGGATTTCATTCCTTCCACAGTCATTGCCAATCGCAGCACCTCCAATTAGCAAGTTCTCATAACCCACATCCACCATAAGCCACCACCAAAACTACAACCAATGACAGTAGATAAAAAAATGGTGAAAGGGGAGAACATATCAAAGTGGACATGGTGAGAATTTGTAGAAGGATGATCACATGTCATGCACATGACCTGGTTTAACAAGGGTGTGGGTCTTATATGATGACTCAAAAGGCTGAGTGGACAACATATAAAGCGCTGACAATGCAAAAGTGCAATTTAGCTTGTATTAAAATTAAAATTAGCCATGCCTTACCACTTGGTAACCTAATCAACAACCACAAGTCCACAACCAACTCCCCTAAATACTTCAGCTGTTAGATGGAGTCTTGGAAATGGTTTTATATCAAACATATTATATGGATGAAAAATATACCTTAATAAACACGTATTCATAGTAAAGAAAACTAACCCTTTGGCCAAACAAGATGGTACTAGAAGTCTCTCCTCGATGACGTGGAGAAGGGCCAATAGTAACAATCAATGAAGTCCTCGCTGTTCCTGCAAATGATTGGAAAACATGAAGCACAAAGTATAGAATGACATAACAAAAAACACTGCATGTTTTGACAAATAGGAAAAAGGACCAAGAAGAATAACATGAAATGCATGGAGACTCAGAGAATGATATTGTAAACATGTCATACAAGAACTCAGAAACCAGTTTCCTAAACTATTAAAGAAATCTTACCACAGTAGTTTATCACAAGATGTTGAAAAGCTAAAGCCTAATAATAGCATGATATCGAACCAAACTGATTAAAGTATCTTACCCCCAAATGAATCTCTAAGCAATCTAGTAAGCTTTGAATCCCGAAATGGAACATGAGTATTGTTTTCTGCTAGAGCATTAATACATTTTCCTAGTGCACTAAGTGAAAGATTGATGGATTTAGCTTCCTCTAGCATGTGCCCCTCACTTCCTGGCACAGAAGAAAAGAGCAGAGTTTAATATTCATAATAATAGGCAAGTATATATGCATGCAGATGCCCACACACATGCACAAATCTTATGTTTAGTTCTAACATACACCTGACTTGTGAATACGCTCAGATCCGGCCAAATCTACCACAACCAGCTTGCTCTTTCGAACAAGTGGTTTTGAAGGTTTAGTCCAGTGAGAGGCATCATTATTTTCAGTAGAAACAATATCTTCACTATCCACAGCAAACCTCTTAATATGTACCTGTGTGAGAATAGATAATGTCATTAAGATAGGGTATTATTTTATGAAATAAACAAGAGGCTGATTGGAATTGCTGTTAGTGACATGTAAAGATAATTAAAAAGTAAACAAAAACACAGTCATTATTTCACCGTCAGTATAGCATGACTACGAGAAGATTCAGTATTCAACTTTGTGTTGGCAGCAACTCGATTAGCTTCTCCAACTCTTAGCAACTCCAAGAAGCTTTGCTGATCCCTGATTTCCACAAGAGTTGCCCCAGGCAAAGACACATCACCAGTTCTTGGATCTTCCAAGATGGGAATATTATCATTTGCTGGATTAAGTAAGTCCTGGAGAGTCTCCATGTAAAGCTACACAATTTGGAGGAGACAGTTCAGCAAAAATTAAAATAGCCTGGGAAAATGATGAAACAGAGAACACTAGCATGATCAAACCATATAGGAGACAACTTTAATGACTATATAAGCACAGCATGATGTGAATAGGACAACCAATGCATACGATACAAAAGTCAGCGTTACACAAAAATATACAACCTGCAGATATGAGACAGTGACCAAATCAGTTTCTGGAGATAAGTCACCTAAGATATCCTCCATGGAACGAACCATGATACCACGATCAGAGGTGTCTTCCTCCCCCAATTGTCCAAGAGTAAAAGTTTTCCCCGTTCCAGTTTGACCATAAGTCATTACAGTTCCATTATAACCATCAAGAACACTCTGCAACCAGATATCCAAAGACATGTTAAGCCATTACATTGAGAAATATGATAATCCATTGATGGAGGCAGAGCATGACTTCTAACAATGATGTTTGTCTAATCAAATCATAAATGACACTTAAAGTCCAATGGCTGAGAAAAGGTTATTCTAGAACAATTAGGAAATGCATCATTATGACAGACCTCAACAACTGGCTTAGCTACAACTTCATAAACACGTTTCTGTGATGCAAACTCAGTAAGCACTTCATCAAATTCATAAGTGTCTGAATCCCAATTGTTTCTCCGAAGTTTCAGTCTTTTAAGCTGAAAGAGATTTAAGGTTATAAGAATGAAATCTTAACGAACGCTAGTACATTAAAATAATTCATGAAGTTATCTATAATTAAATCAAAATGCAGAATCTAAATAGTACAAACAGTTGGCCAAAATGCACCTCTGGTTGTAATTCAACAGAGTCACCAAAATCAGCATCAGCCACCATTTCCTCAGTATTTCGAGGTCTCAATCTTACAGCCACTCGAACTCTTCCAGACACTATACACAATAAGCAACAAGTATAACAGCACTGCCACAGCCAAAAGCACGACAGAATAGTGAACAAGTGAATGAGTAGAATCGTCGCACTCTCTTCAAGACTTAGCTTTCAAAATAAATATGAAAGTATAAGGATAGTGCAAGGAAATTAAAGCAAAATTTGTAGACATATTGGCACACGGTGTAAGTGCTCTTAAACCCTATACCTTCATACAATGAACAGTTCCAAAATATATAGCATTTCCACTATTATCATCTACTCAAAAATCTTATCTAATCAATATTACATATCAAATTGCAACAGAAAACAAGTGGCGCAGGAGCAGGAAACCAATCTACACTGAACCCTCTCATTACCCCGGCTTTGAGAATGGGTTCTCCTTGACAAAATGTGCTACCCAAATCCTAATGACCAAAACAAATTCTCACAAACACGAGATACCGTACCTATCATCATTTATTACAAAACATCCGTCGATTATATTTAACCTCCATTTTCCATAGGATCCAAGGGTTGAAGTATCCAACACCTCGAATCACTTCAGATAACAAGAGCTGAAAAATGAAAAATAAACTGAGAAATGCTAGCAACTCACTTTCTAACACATTCTTTTTTACAAACTCCTAACAATTAGCCAAAAATCATTGAAAACTACAAAAGTACCAAAAAAAAAAACATTAAATTAGAAGTAAACATACATATTTTTATAAATTTTAACCAATAATAAAGAGTGTGTAAAAAATAAGTATATACCTTATTACTATTATTCGCATTAACTTCATTGTCACCTACTAACATGAATAGATAAAACCACAAAAATAAACAACTCATACAACAGCAACACATAAAAAAAAAAAGAAGACAAAATCAGAGAATAATAATAACCATCGAAAAAGCATGTAAGCATGAACCAACTACATCGAGAGAGAGAGAGAGAGAGAGAGAGAGATTTTCCGTAAATACAAAGTTTATTTACTACTCCAAAACTTGCACTCATTCAAAACTGCAATTTATCTTCCTAGTGAAATCGTTTTATATAGAACTACACTCTCTCTCTCTGTCTGCGTCGAATGAATGAAGCCATAACTAAATAACCTCCATCTTGGTTCCTAGCAGCGGGGGTGGAGCGGCGGAGATTGGATCCCGGCGAGTGAGCGAGGCGGGGTTTAAGCGACGGCGTTTTGAGGTGGTTGCGATCTAACTTAACGAGGCTTCCCCTCTGAGGTAGAGCGACGGCGTTTCGGTGAACGGCGGAAGCCATTGGTGCTACTAAATGAGAAGAAGAGGCAGTGAAAATTCAAACAAAAGCATTGGCGTTTGAGAGAGTGAGAGTGAGTTCCCTCATTTTGAGTTTGAATTAGTTCTGTTATTATTTTATATTTATATTATATATAAAAGGTAAATGAGTGAGAGAGACAGAGAACGTGTCCGTAACTCTCGAATTAGGAGGGAAGACGAGGGAACCAGGTGGGCCATGCACGGAAGGAGGACATTTGTGAGTATAACTCATGCAAATTTTATTTATAATTAATAAATTAAGTTCAAATCTCTACAATTTTGGAATCGTTCTTGTTAGTTCAGGCCATTCCTCATTATGTTCAAGTATTTTTAAAATTATATTTTTATTTTAAGGTAAATTCTTTCAAAGATACTTATACTACCACATTTAAACTTTGTTTTAAAAAATATATAGAAATTAGTAGATCATTTGTGTAAAAGAATTATTATTATTATTATTATTAAGTTGATTTAAAATATTTAAAAATAGTGCAATTTTATTACAAAATTATTATAATTTTATATTTATATAATAAATAATTATTTTGAAATATATTTAATAAAATGAATCTTAAATTAATGTTTATACAATAACATAATAGAAAAATGAAATTGTTTTAACTTGAATTTAAAAAGACATAATATTTTGTTCCTTTATTTCAAGGTAAATATAGAAAATGTTATGGATAAATGTCATACGGAGGGACCGAGCGAGAAAGCAATGGCACAGTCACTACTCAACAGATCGTATTTGGGTCACGCCATAAATTTCAATATACCTGTCACAGCAAAAATTTGTATGTAACGCAATAGAAATTTACATAGTTAAGTGAACTCTTTGAATTAGTTTCATTGTATTTACTATCATAATAAACCTCTCCATAACAAGTGATGCATCACATGTGCGAAATGACGATATTTATAAACTTCAGGTAGCCATTTATTAGGAGTGAGTAGTGGGCTACCACCTCATCAAGTGACTTTCATTCTAATCTTTGACCGTGGAATTAACATTTTCTCAAATATTCCTTAACCAATGATATTTTCTATTCTTTATATTATTAGATCATCATGTATCAACTGTTTCATCCATCAGTCATTAATTAGAAATATACCTGATTTGCTCAAAAGAAGTTTAATTTTAGATTTTAAAAATATACTTGAAACTGATATATATACTACATTTTTTAATTTGTGATATGAGTATACATTTTAAAATAATATATATATATATATATAATTATTTAAAATATTTTTAAAAATTATTTTAATCTAATTTTATAGCTAAAAACAGTGTGTGTGTCAAAATAATAAAAAATATATTAAGCATTATAAATTTTATATAAACAAAAAATTAACTTAAATAAGTAAATAATCCTTACAAATATAGTATCTTTTAAAATTACTCTTTATAAAATTTGTTTGTTAAGTTTAGTCCAGTATTTTATTTATTTATTTTAAATACTATTATATGATAACTAAGCAAACATCATTTTAAATGTGACAAAGCTTAAATACTTAGAATGAATTTCATATGATAGATAGCTTACCTTCTTTAACACTTTAAATTTTGATTTTGGTACATGTAAATATTTAATGAGTGTGATTGTTGTTTATTTACTGCATTATTATTATTATTATTATTATTATTATTATTATAGAAGTTTATTAGCTTTAATTGACATCGAGTTTAGCTTGTTTTTACTATATTTTTAAATTGACATTAAATGAATGAAAATTTACAAATTTTCATAAAAAAGTTGGGGACTAAAATTAAAAATTTGTAAAGTGTGGACTAAAATGAATAACCATATTATGTTAGGGTCTAAAAAATGAAGGAAAGGCTTACTCATAATGAAGAAAGATACCAAATCTTGTAGCAAAAAAGGTGGGTTTGAATTTAATATTTATTTATTTTTCACCATTTATCATCATTCACTTTGAGATTTGGTTTGTAAATATAAATGCTTGCTATCTAATGGCCAATTTGATCTTGAAGGATATGATAACATGGTAGATATGTTTACTATACTACTAGAAAGGCTAACAATACAATTTTTTAATATATTTTTATTATTAACTAAAATTTATTAAAAACTAACAAAATTACGTGAATTTCATTTTTTTCTTAATATGTTTATATTTTATCCTTTTATAATTTTTAAAAAAATTTAGTTAACAGTTTAAAAGTACATTAACAAGAAGTGTATTGTTAGCTTTAGTCGTATATATTTAGAACGGTGCCGATGGTATTCTCAGAGGGCTGGTTCAACTGGTGAAGGCCAATTAATGACATGGGATGAACAAATAATGCTTATTGCGCACACAGTCAATTGTTTTGGTGATAAAGTTAAGATTATTGGTAATGCCGGAAGCAACTGCACATCAGAGGCAATTAAAGCCACTGGGCGAGGTTTTGCTGTTGGAATGAATGCTGCAATTCAGATAAATCCTTACTATGGCAAAACCTCTTTGGATGGTTTGGTTGCTCACTGTAATAATGTGCTTTCCATAGGCCCCATCATCATATATAATATACCTTCACGAACCACACCAAATCCTAACCTGGTTGGTGTAGAAGAGTGTGTGGGGAATGACAGGATCAAACAGTATTCAAATGAAGGAATTGTTGTGTGGTTTGCAAATGATGAAGAATGCCATGATGCTAGATCGGATTATGGGGCTGTTGGGGTTCAATCTGTTGTTAGCAACTTGATTCCTGGTTTGATGAGAGGACTCATGTTTGAGGGGGGGAAAATCCCAAACTGAATTCAAAGCTCATGCCTTTATTTGATTGGCTTTGCCTTGAGCCAAAACCAATTCATTTTGAACACAGCTCTTGCTCAACTTGGGGTTATTAGACCAGTTTTTTTGTCAATTTGGTGAAGCAAATTGGTAGCGAGCATTTTGTGGGAGAAAAGGAAGTAAAGGTTCTTCATAATGATGAGTTTATCTTAGTTGGTCGATATTAATTCAGATTACCTTTTACAAGTCTTATTTTTTTATGATAATCTCCATGTTGGGTTTTGAACAATTTCCAAAGTTTGCCGTTTGCAAAAGTTCAAAAGCCGTATGAGGAACCATAGTTTTAGATCATTTAAGCTCGATAAAACAAGTTTAGTTGCTTTTCACTGACTATTTGCAGGGGGAAACTGGTTCAAATTAGTTCCAACGCACTTTTGCTTATGCATTTTGTAGAAGTTCGAACCGTACTTAAAAAGCTTTATCAGACACAAACAAACACTGAATCCCATTATTAGATGTTTAATATTAGATGTTTAAAAATTAAAGCATTTAAGTAAAATTTTAAAATGTTAAAAAATTAAATCAAAAGTAGTCAATTGAAAAAAAAAAGTTTTGAAGTAGTAATTTTACAGAAAAATGAACGAATAAACTTTGGAAGTTTTCTATTAGTATAGGTATTATTGCTATAGTTATATTATATATTTATATTGTGTATTATAATATTAAATAGTCAAATTTGTGTTATATATATTAAATGAATAGAATGTATTCATTTACATAAATTATGACTATTTCATTAACACAAATTTTACAATAAATAAAAATATAATAAAATTAACAAATAATACATTGAAAAATAATTATATTTTTTTTATAAGGAAATTGCTTAAGGAATTAATAAATGATATTTTTATTAAAAATTATGTTAAGATATACTAAAAAACATGAATGTAAGTATATTTTATATTTTTTATTAAATTTTTTTTATTTTTCTTTAATAATGTTCTTAGCATTTTCTTAAGAGAGTGTTTGGTATACAAAATACTTTTTACTTCATGAAAACTATATTTCTTAGAAATCATGTTTCCTGAAAAAATTGTTTTTTGAAATGTTAAAAATACGTTTGACATGTCTTAAATTTATTGTATATGTTATACAATTATTCTTGTGAATTTTTGTATATTGTCTTCGATATAAATGTTATTTTTTTAGGAGTATTCTTACTTCTTTAAAAAAATATTTACTTTATATAATAATTAATAATTTTTCTTTACGCTATTAACTAAATTTATGATTATTTAAAATTTTAAAAAATTAAAATAAAATAATACAAGACAATTATAATATAAGAATATATATATATATATATATATATTAAGTGATAAAATATTACAAAATTTTAATTATAATAATTATAAATCATCTTTAATTACACAAGTTATAAATAGACCATAACATAATGAAAAGACAATGTAAACTAAGTTTAGATTTAAGAATATTAAAAGATATAATTATATTTTTATTTTATAAAAACCTTTCTGCTTTCGGGGCACTTTAAAGTTTTCACTTTTTTCATAAAAATGTTTTTTAAAATTTAATCAAAAGTATTCTTGAAAATTTTAGTTTTTGAGAATTTTCTTTTAAATTATTCACATAGGAATTTAATATTTTCAACTTTAAATTCTTAAGAACTTAAAAGAATCTCCTGTCAAACCTGTATCTGAAGAATAATGTTAAATTCTAAAATTATTCAGTTTGCATATTTTTCTTACATATATAAAAGTGACATGTATCTTTTAAAGAGAGAAAAATATACATTTTTAGAAGACAAATCATTTTTTTGTGCGTAAAATAATTCGTAGAAGATAATTTAATTTTTTTTAAATTAGAAAAAAGTACTAATAATTATTTCTTATAAATAGAATTAGATATAGTATTACATTAATTTTCTAAAACCCTTTAATCTAAAATAATTATAAATTTATTTCTTTTCTAAAACAGAAAAAAAATGGTATAGGAAAAACATAGTGAGATTCAAAAAATTTGATTGTTATCTCAAATTTAAAATTTTTTTCTGTACTCCCCTTCCACTCTAATTCTTCTTTTATTTTTATTTATCGGATAAACAATGTAATAAAGTTAGTGCAGCGATTCATTGGTCAACGCCGGTGATCTCCCTATGGCATATTTTCTCTCCGTTACCCTGTCCTCTGTTTCATTTTCCGGAGCTTCAATCGGGTCAGATCATAGTCTAAGTTTCAATTCGGGTCAATTAAGGTCTTCAAACATGGTCGCTCACTATGGCAGTAGTAGCATCTTGTTCAGAGGACCTCGTTTACCCTTTTTCCGCTCCATAGCCAGCAATCGCAACAAGAGGTTATATCTGCTATCTTTTATTTTCCATTTAAATAAATTATTGTGAGTTTAATTTTGCTATGTTATTTATAATCAATAATAAGTATAATTTTTAAAATAATTATTACAAAAGATAACAATTGTTACTGATAATAATAATTTATGATTGAATAATGGTATAAATGTACTTTAATTATTATTTTTATTTTCTGAATTTTTGTTTTTTATATATTTTGGTATAGTGATTTATTGATATGTTACTGTGTGTAATGAGTTTAAGATGGCTAACGAGGTTACTGAAATAATAAATATTATGATTGTTTGCATTTTAGCCGTATGAGAAAATAACTGATAAAGATGAAGCGAAAGAGTTTAGAAGGCATAAGATTACCATAAACTGGGAATCATCTTATGAAGCTAGTGCATGTTTGGTTCAGTTTATTTAGGAGAATAATTGCTTATTTTTGTTACTGTCGTGAGAGAGATTTTGAAAAATAAGAGATTTTTTGGGGGAAATTAATCTTCCTCAAACCTGCACTAAGATCAGTGATTGGTGCCAACTGTGTTGCAGATAGGATACCAAGTATTGTAGCTATGAATCCAAATTATGGTTGGCTAATCACTATAATTTTCTTTGTTTGGATACAGGAACACATGCTGGAAACCTCCGCGAGCAGCTGCAATGAATGATTTTTGGATCCCTATGAGCAGCTCAGCTGTAAAAAATAGGTGGATTTGAATAATAAATATTCTGTTCCATATGGATTGATTATTCTCTTAAATTTTAATATCCCATTAATATCATTCCAGTAAGTTGTTGTGTGTATTTGTGTACAATATGTAGGAACATTTGAAATCCCTTGGTATAATTTCTGAAAGGGTCTCTGGAGTTGATGTTCTGATCTGCCTTTTGATACAGCTTTAAACAGTATCTCTCTCTAATCTTCATTTACGACTTAATTTGAATTTTTAATTCCTTTATTCTGGGCTTTGAGATTTAGTTTGGATATACAAGGCTTATAATCTTGATCTGTATTTTTTATCAGCAACGCAGTTTTATAGTGATTTACGTAATTCAGATCTACAGCTTTGCAGGTGTAAAATTTTAATTTTTAAGCAACCTGCTAAAAAAATATAGATGTATATATAATATGCTTTTAGCTTCACGACTTGGCTTTTATTGATAAATCTGCACTGTTAACCAAATTCATATAATTATGTTTGCAAACATCATAAGAAGTTACAAAACTTAAGCTGTGGGGAATTGTTGAGGGAAATAAGTTATATTTGTACTGTATTTTACAGGGCATGGACTGAAAACATAAGGAGTGTGAGATTGATAACTGCAGTTAAAACTCCATACCTACCTAATGGGCAATTTGATCTTGATGCATATGACAACTTGGTAGATATGCAGATTGCAAATGGGGTTGAAGGTATTCTTGTTGCTGGCACAACTGGTGAAGGGCAATTAATGACCTGGGATGAACAGATAATGCTTATTGCACACACAGTCAACTGTTTTGGTGATAAAGTTAAGGTTGTTGGTAATGGCGGAAGCAACTGCACATCAGAGGCAATTAAGGCTACTGAGCGTGGTTTTGCGGTTGGAATGAATGCTGCACTTCATATAAACCCCTATTACGGAAAAACCTCCTTGGATGGTTTGCTTGCTCACTATAATAGTGTGCTTTCTATAGGTCCTGTCATCATATATAACATACCTACAAGGACTAATCAAGATATTCCTCCTAGTGTAGTTCAAACCTTGGCTCAAAGTCCTAATTTGGTTGGTGTGAAGGAGTGTGTGGGAACTGAGAGGATTAAACAGTATACAGATCAAGGAATTGTTGTGTGGACTGGGATTGATAAAATAAGCCATGATGCTAGATGGGATTTTGGGGGTATTGGGGTTCAATCTGTTGCTAGCAACTTGATTCCTGGTTTAATGAGAGAACTCATGTTTGGAGGCAAGAATCCTACATTGAATTCAAAAATCATGCCTTTGTTTGATTGGCTTTCCCAAGAGCCACTTCCAATTGCTTTGAACACAGCTCTTGCTCAACTTGGGGTCATCAAGCCAGTTTTCAGGCTACCCCATGTACCTCTGCATGTGGAACAAAGGAAAGAGTTTGTCAATTTGGTGAAGCAAATGGGGCGAGAGCATTTTGTTGGAGAAAAAGATGTTCAAGTTCTTGATGACGATGACTTTGTCATAGTTGGTCGATATTAATGTGGATTACCTTCTTCATGTCTTATTTTAAGTTTCTCTGTTGGGTAAGGTTTGCCACGGTTCAAAAACCAGATCTTGTACATAGTGTCAGTTCCAGTAAATAAAGCCAAGATTTTGTTTCTATGTCACGGTTTGCAGTGTACAGGTCAAATTGGTGCCAACTTATATATGCTTATGAATTTTGTTCGAACCTTGTTTAAATATTGGTAAAAATACAAACAACACTAATATAAGTGAAGAAGTCAGAACTATGCTTATGAAGATGGAAGGTAGATGTACCACTTTTTTACCTTGGCGCAATTTTAATTTATTAATTTCTTTTTTTAGAGAAACTATATATATTTTATGTGTAGCATAGTTTTTACAAATAAATATGAATTATAAATATGAAGTAGAGTATATGTTATTGTTTGCAATGTGTCTTTGCTAACTTCATCAGTCTTGTTGGCCATGTTTATGGCATTTTCTCCGTTGGAGCGTAAAAAGTATCTCTTTAAACTTGGCAAAGCATGCGTATCTTAGTTCTCCACGAGTCAAGCCACCTTTGATCAATGATGGGAAGAAGAAGAAGAAGAAGCCAATCTTGGGCCAGAAAGGATGCGGGTAGTCTTTTGACAATGATGAATATTAAAATGTTTTATGTTCCGTAAGAATATCATTAAAATATTTTTTAAGAATTTTCAACAATTAATTTTTTAAGTTATTTTTCAAAAATGAGTTAGGATCAACAGTATAAAATCAAAATTTGTCTAATTCTAATGTTAGACTACTCATAGATTTCTAATTCTATATATGTCACGTATCGTATGGCAAGTCTTTGTAAATGAAAAAAGTGTTAAAATATTTTATATTGACTAAAAATATGGCGAAGATACATCAATGATTTGTTTCTTTTAATACAGTCTTAATATTGGGTTTGCAAATGTCTAATTTTTCAAACTTCACATTCTAGTTAGATGTTCAATTCTAGGACATGAGAGAGATAATTAATCCTCTTATTTTTTTTAGCTTATTTTTTAGAGTGAATTAAACATAAATTTTTAATAGGATAAAGTTTAGATGTAATTTCTTAAGTGTTGTTGGTGTTGTTTATCTATTAACATTTTTTATTTTAGCAATATGCCATAACATTAAATAAAAATATTTTATTAAAATAACACTTTAATTTTAATTGATAAACAAGACTACCAACATTTAAAAAAACATATAAATTTTATATTTTTAATATGATATCAAAGTCTATTTAACTTAAACCTTGGATACCAATATATGTTTAATTTTGAGTGTAAGAGATGTGTTAAATGTGAATTTTTAACCAAAATAATATATAAAAAAAATAAAAATACTGAAATAGACCTGTCCCAAAAATATTTATCAAAGTAGACCGAATTAATTACTGTTTATGTACAGAATTCGACTCTCTGAAAGTCGAATTCTGGTCTTCAAATTCGTGGCAAGAAAGGTGACTTCTGAGAGCGGTTAAATACGAACCGCTCTCCAAAGTCGACTTCTGAGAGCGATTAAATAAGAACCGCTCTCCAACGTCGACTTCTGAGAGCGGTTAAATAAGAACTGCTCTCCAAAAACGACTTCTAAGAGCAGTTGTATACGAACCGCTCTCCAAAGTCGACTTCTGAGAGCGGTCCAATTCCTGCAATTGTTCAAGTGGATGGAACATTTTTGTATGGCAAATACAAAGGGACTTTATTAGTGGCAGTTGCGCAAGACGGCTGCAACAACATAATCCTCATTGCCTTTGCTATGGTAGAAGGTGAAACTAGTGATGCATGGTTCTTTTTTTTGAAAAACTTAAGGAGGTACGTAACTCCGCAAGAGGGGTTGTGCCTCATTTCGGATCGTCACGAGGCCATAAGAAGTGCATACTCCAAAAATGGAAGTGGTTAGACAGAAAACAATTCTGTCCATGTCTATTGCATTAGACATATTGCACAAAACTTCATACGACGATTCAAAAACGCTGCACTGAAGAAAGATGTTGTCAATATGAGTAATTTTAATTTTTTACGTACTTTATATTCTCATTAATATTTTATACAATTGCTTAGCTAGTTATATTAATTTTTTTTGTAATCTTGTTTCCAGCATATGGGATGACTGAACCGAGATTCTTTTACTATTACAACATAGTAAAAGATAATAATCCTGAAGTTGCACAATGGTTGGACAACATCCCAAGGGAAAAATGGACACTGGCATGGGACAATGGACGACGCTGAGGACACATGACAACAAATCTAGCGGAGTCAATCAATTCGGTCTTGAAGAAAACCAGAAACTTGCCAATTTGCTCCATGGTCCTGGCAACATACACCCGTTGCAATAAGTTCTTCATTGACAGAGGCAGAGAAGTAAATGCAATGATTAATGCTGGACATATGTACTCGGAGGTTGCAACTAAAGCAATTCAAGATGCACAGTCAAACGCAAACATTCATAGAGTTATCACCTTTGACAGAACAAGCACTAGATTTTTAGTCGAAGAAATGCAACATCCAACAGAAATTCGACCCGTAGGAAGATTTACAGTACGGTTAGATGAAATGTGGTGTGATTGTGGCAAGTTTCAAAAAGTTCACATCCCATGCTCGCATGTACTTGCTTCATGCTTATACGCACACCACAACTTTGACATATACATATCTCCCGTGTATACCTTACAACAAGTTTCTAAGGTATACAAAGGTCAGTTTGGAGAACTCAGACATGAAGACTATTGGCCAACTTACACGGGCCCAACTTTGTGTCCAAATCCAGAACTGAAAAGAATTTCAAAAGGTCGACCCAAGTTTAGTAGGATAAGGACAGAGATGGACATTAGAGAACAACAAAGTCGGCAAAAAAATTGTTCTTATTGTCACACCCCTGGTCACACAAGGAAGACATGTTCAAACATTACTCAAGCTTCTACTTCCCGTCATTGATTTATGTTGTTGTTATTACTTTAAAATTTTCTTCATGTAATTTTTAATTTTATGAATGTCATTGCAACTTCTAAATTTTAGTATTAGTAATTTATATTAAATATATTATATATATATATATATATATATATATATATATATCTACATAATATTATTTAATAATGTTTATTAATATTAATAAAATATTTTTTAAATAAATAATTATGTATAAATTTTAATAAAGATTAATATCTCAAATTAAATAAATAATCTTATTATTATTTAATACTTTTATTTATTTTATAAAAATATAAAATTAAATAAATTATTATTGTAATTTTTATCAAATACAAATTTAAAATTATTCAATTATTATTATTATTTTTATTTTTTAAATATTATTTATGTAAAAATCTCACCAAATTCCATACATAATTTGCATTTTTGTTTTTATATATAATAAAAAAATATTATCTAATATTTATATTTATATAATAATTATATATTGTCAAATTTAATAATAAAAATAGTTTTAAATAATAAAATAAAATTTATTATTTGAATTATATTTTTATTTTTATATTGTGTGAAAATAAATTTTTATATTATGTTAATTTGTGTGAAAAATACTTGAGTTCACTTCTGAGAGCGGTTCAAAACGAACCGCTCTCGAAATTCGAATACTGAGAGCGGTTGGTTATGAACCGCTCTCAAAATCCTCCACATCAGCTCAGCGTGTACGACTTTGGAAAGCAGTTCAAATTGAACCGCTCTTAGAATTTGACTTTAGAGAGCAGTTCAAAATGGATCGCTCTTAGATGTAGACTTTGGAGAGCGGTTCAAAATTGACCGTTCTTAGAAGTAGACTTTGGAGAACGGTTCGTTTTTAACCACTCTCAGAAGTCGACTTTCTCAAGGAATTTACAAAATCTGTCACACAGATTAACATAATATAAATATATAAACATAAATATTAGATTATTGTAATTTTTTTAAATAATATTAAATAAACAAAAATATAATTTCAGAATATAATATTAATACTGTTTTACAAAAATTAAAATTATATTAAATAATATGATAACAAAAATAAAAATATTATTTATTATCATAATTATGTAAAAAAAAATTAATAAACATGTAAAATAAATATTATTTTTATTTTTATTTATTTTCACATAATAGAATATAAATATATAAATATAATTTAAATAATTAAATTTATTTATTTATATAAAAATATTTAAAAAATTGAAAAAAAAATCAAAATTCAACTTCCAGAATTCGGTGGCCCAGGGACCGAATTCTGGCTACCCAATTACTGCTACAGTAATTGGGTCTAATTATGTAAATTTTGTGAGCACCGGTCCATTCAGGTTATTTTATTTTATTTTTATATTATATTAGTAAAAATTTCGTTAAATGTTCCACATTGGTAATTTTTTCATTAAAGTTGGACAATCTTTCTTCTTTGGGTTAACTTCTATGAGTAAATTATTAGGTATAGTACATTTCTATAAAACGATATCAAAGTCTATTTAGTCTTACCGTTGAATTATTCATAAAAGTTTAATCATATAAAATTCATGCAAATTTTGAACGTGAATAGAGCGTCTTAAAATATTATATATTAAATAAAAATATGGTAAAGTTAGAATTCTTAATCTAACTTTTAAAGTGGGTCAAGCTTTTAAGTCTCAAATAAATTGGAATAGCTTACAATATTCTAATACGTAATCATTTTTTTATCAAGGAAATAATATTGGCAACATATTTTATTATTGGAGATATTATGCAAGAAAATTTCATTCAATATTTAATAAACCTAAGTTATTTGGTGAGGTTTATAAGAACTTATCCGTTCTGCTGAAAAAATATATCAAAGTGCTTATTTTATTTTTATTTTTAAATTTTTCTTTAAGTTATATATATCATTTAAAATATTTTCTATTTTCTTCCCTTCGCTTTTTCATTTTTATTACAATTATACACTTAATAGTATAATGATATTTTTGGGCATATATTGGCTCTTGAAACCAAGAGGAGAACACACTAAATTGAAGAATTTGTGCTAAGTTGAACAGTGGGTGTTAAATGCCGAAACTTTTGACTCCCTCTTTCTTAACATGCTGTTGCACACACAAATAAAAGAAGGAAAAGAATATAGTCAATGCATAGCTTTAAAGCAGGTTTGGTAAAATGTTTAAAATTTAATTTTGATAGATTTGTGGTGTAAACACTTTTACACTCTTGATTAATTAAAATATACCATAGATATAATTTATACATTAATTATTATAAATTTATTTTTTATTTATTATTCTTGTTTAAATTATTTTTATCTAAGATATTTTTTATTATATTATAATAGTAGGTGTACCTTATGTAAAAAAAATTTAAATAAGAGTGACAATAAATATTATGTTATTTAGGTTTAAAGTGAAAATTAATATAAAATATCTTTAAAAAATAAATTATTAAAATGATATTTTAAATTAAATTTTTGAAGTTTGTAGAATGTAATAATAATTTTTAATTAATAATAAAGACAACTTATTTATTTTTATTAAGTAATTGTCAAATATATGTTAATTTACTTTTGAAAACCTTTCAAACGAAGAAACAATTAATTACTATAAAATTACTAACATTGTTTTATAAGTAATATATGCATTTAGAAAATAATTCTTCTATGTAATTGAGTATCAATTAGCTTTTTATTATGTCGAAAATTAATTACTATAAAGTTACTAACATTCTTTTATGTAAGCGAGTATCATATTTTAATTTACAAATTTTAACTTTAAAAATAAATATAATTCACCAATATTTCACCAAACATTGTGTTTTAAGAAAATTTTAAGATCAAAATAATTTTCTTTTATATTCTCTCTATTTAATGAATTTAATTTATCAATGCCAAATAAGAATTTGAAAAATATTTTCATGCTTTTTAAAATTGTTTAGATATACTTAAAGGAATAGTAATCATTTGCTCTGTATGAGAAGTAATTAATTCTAAATAATTCTTAGGATATTTTACAATTTTATTAGTGGATTTGTCATTATTTTTTTATAATAGTACTTTTTTATATATAAAAATTAGGTTCTTTATCCATTCTGAGAACAATTTCTTTTGCAAAAATTACAACATGTTCACATATTCATCTTTTTTATATTTTTCAAAACATGAAAGAAGACTTTTTCAATTGTTCTGTATATAATAACATTGATGAGCATTGAATTAGGATAGCATCGTAAAAGTTTCACTATTACTTGTTGCGAACTTAGTTTCTCACTTATTCTCACATGCAGTACCAATGCAATGCGCGTCACTGAAAAAATTCAAAGAGAAGGTTGACAAGTAAAGAAGATTAAGAAACAGACACTTTGGTATTGTTTTGAGTTGAAATTTAAAACTATTTACAATACCAATGAAAAGTGTAATAAGCTTTTTGAAGTTTCATTGTTTAAAATATTTAATAATAGAATATATATATATATATATATATATATATTTGAAAATTAATTATATCAAAAATTAAAATAAAGAGATAAATAAAATAGTTACTAGAAATATAATGTGATGCATGAAGGCTTAATTTAAGAAAAATATTTATTTTAATATTACATATTAATTAATAATTCATTATTTTTTAGTTTAAAAGAGAATATTAATTAGAGATAGGTTTTTCTGGAGCCTTGTTTTGGGGGCTTGAAGCTTTAGATTAGGCCGGCCTTGCTATAGATAAGAGACATTCCATTTTATAAAACATGGGTGTTCTGTTCCAAAGGTTATCAGCATAATAGTATTATAAGATATTGATTAAAAACTATAAATTGTCTCATAATTTTATTTGCTTTCCTAAAACTATTATTTTACCCAAAATTTCAAAAAGAAAGGCATGATTAATAATATATAAATGGTTGATACCATTTCTACTTTATACTCTCTTACATCCTTTTATAAAAGCTCAAGTCATTTAATAGGTAAAGAGATGAAAGAAGAACAACAAAACTTGTTTTTAAGCAAGTGTAGATGGAAATATAATAACAATGATGTGAGAAGAAAAAAAAAGACTATTAGAATATATTTGAAGAAGTTTATAACGAAAGATTACCTCGTAAGCTCTTTTTAATCTATTTAATTAATTTTTAAAAATTTTTAAATGATGTTATTTTTTAAATGTATAATTACATTTATAACACAAATCTTTACGTATATAATATGAACTTGTTATGAATAAAAGCTTATATTATTTATCCAAATACATCTGTAGCATATACACATCTTTGAGGATATCATCAGAAAACCAACGAGAACTGACAAATTAAATTAAATCTGATTGTAACAATGCACAATACTATATTCCTTGTAATAATGGTTACAATTAAACTCTGAAAACTTATTACAAGAAATTAATATTTAACCTCAAACTCCAAAACAAATAAGATAAGAAAAAGAAATATAAGATTCTGGGCTCCGCATAAAACGGATTAACGATGACAAACACTTCAAATTTTCCTATTCTCGACCTTAACAAATAAACTTTATTAGCTGAAAGCTAACTAGTAACTAGTTTTGCTGTTATGTTCTTGAGAAAGCTTCTTTTGAAGTTGAGATATGAGAGTCTGATTCTCTTTGTGAAGAAGCAATGCTTGCTTCCTCAACTTCTCATTCTCCTCTATGATGGTTTTGTTCTCCATGTACAATTTCAAGTTTCTCATTTCAATATCTGTCTTCAAGACAATCATCCTTTTCCTTCGTCTTGCCTCTTGCAATTGTGCTCTCCTTCTATGTCAATATCATCAGCCAACGATCAAAATCATACATTAAACTAAGAATATAATTTGTTGAACCGAACTTACATTACTATCATTTGATCATATATTACCATATTATTAAAAATGTTTGACTATCATGACCGTTGCTTAGAATGTGTAATTCTTTAATTAGTACATCAACAGCCTTTCGTCTTTTGTTGACTTTTTTTTACTGGGTAAATTAAAATTTCATATGACATTATGTGGTGAAAAAATTGTTTAGTTTTTCTTCATATATAGATATCAAACATCTTATCAAAATTTGTGAATATTTATAAAGAGAAAGGCAAGTACAATTTTTTCATATAAAATGAAAAATGATTGATCATTCCCTCAAAAGAAAACATGCAAGAAAGTGACCCAAAAAAAAAAAGGTTGGTTGAAACTAGAAGGGTACCTTTTATGGAGGCTGAATTGAAGGTGCCTGTGCTGTCTCTTGGATGGCCATGGTTGGCGAGCGGCAAAAACAAGGGTTGGTGACTGTTCTGAAGAGAAAGAGCACATACCGTTAATTTCTCTCTAAAACTTGGGATCTCTCCAAAGGAGGGTTACAAGGTTGAGAGATAGATGCAAGGTTTAGTTTATTATAACTGAAAATGGGAAAGTAGCTATGTGATGAAAGTGGGGCGTAACCATTGAGCTTAAGGGGTTTATATATAGCCATATAGGTGAGAAAATTGATATAATTAGAAACTATATAGGGGAAGGAAAGTGATATAGCTGTGAATTGTGTTTGTATTTGCCCATGAGAGAGATAGACTTTTCATAGCAATGATGACACAAGGATTCATGATTACAAAGGGTAGCAATAGATGAGGAAGAAAGAGAAGGGGGGGAGAGGGGGTGGGGGTGAAGAAAAATGCTTCTCTTCTTTTCTTGGCCTTTTTGATTGCCTAGTTAGTCAGTCTATCAGGCTCAAACTTGGGTAGTGGGTAACGTAGAGATGAAGAGTGGACACATAAACTACTACACTACCCCCACCCAACTTTTTTTTTGGTGAGTATTAATTGGGAGTATTCTTCATTTACTGTTAAAGATTCATTTTTTAATTAAGGCACATAAAAGCTATTATTGAAATATGTTTTGTTTCTATTAATAAAGTTTTTTAGTATACAAAGATTTGAAATTAAATCTTAGCTAAATGTTTAAGAAACTCAGCTATTGATAAGTATGTTGAGTTTTAATTTGCTACTTCACCCAAGTACTATTGAGATAAGTTACACTTTTTTCTCCCGAATTTTAGAACTTTCCCCCTTCAGTTTCAAGATCGTTTAGGTCCTCACTGTTATTATGGGATCTTCAAACTTGAATGAGGAAAATAGTCATAAAGTCACGTGGGGTGTTGTCAAATTGTTGTGATAATTATGGTAGAAGACAATTTTGACATGATATTCAACGTGCCAACCTGCATTTACTTCTGTTCATTTAGAATGGGCCATTGCATGGTTGCTAATAGTCTCAATATATAGTTATTGCTACACCAGTGTCTGCATGCCTACTGTTTTCAGACAGTCCCAAACAGTACAAGTACCGCAGAAAGATTTGCATAAATAAAGGCAAAGATGCTTTGTTCCATGGTTTACAAAGTTTGAGTTTGAAAATTCTGTTATTTATTTGATCATTTTGTTTATATCATTGCTTATTTTCGAGATTTAATTATAGAATTACCTAAAATAGGATCATATATATTTATAATTTATAAGATATATAAATAAATGAATTAAAATAAGTTAAAAATAGTTTTAAAAAGTTATAAATTATTTATATAAGCTTTTTATAAACTCGCTCAAACATCTCTTAAATATTTAAAGATTGTGAGTAAAATGGCTAATTTTCTTGTGAGATGCTTAGGAAATTTAAGTCACACAACAGATGGAAAATTCCTCATAGAAATTTCACTCCCTTGTTCTTAAAGAGATTTATATGGATGTCCATGCATAGTGATAGACTCAGAAATTTTCAGTACTAAAAGTAAGATATCTTAAAAAAAAAAAAAGATTGTGAAGATAAAGTAATAGATATAATATTATCTTTTTTCACAATTTTCAATGTATTTTTCATGCTATTAAAAAAACATTAATTTCTTAATTAGTATCGTAAATCAAGATCTATAGAAAAAATATTGAAAATGAATGGGGACATGTGTTCCATTATTAGTAAACCTAAATTCATCACTAGCTAGAAGCACATGTTTAGTGATGATTATTTTTAATCTCTTTTGAAAACCTTTTTAACTAAAGGACTTTTTTAAATACGCAGTAAACTAATTCAAACATATACTTTAATATGTCCTAATAATTAATTAATTAATTAATTAATTTTTTAATATTCTTGATTCGGTGCACGTGTGGATGCTAGATTGTACCCCAACATCTCAATGATGTAAATTTGTGTAACATGCCTTTGTTCTCTGTCGTCTTGAGTAGACAATTTACAGAATCCATGAAATCTGTTCATATTAGCGAGCATTTGAGCATTACATTCATTCATATAATGCTCTTATTAAGAAATTTCTCTTTTGAATTTTAAGTGACCCTACGCACATAATTCTCAACTAGAAATAAAATCAATGTTAAAAACAAATATTGAATCCCTAAGGTTTAATCCGAATTGAATTTTGATTTCTATAATTTTTTTTATAACAATATATTTTATATTTGCTCTTATTTAGATTTTGGTCCCTGCTTTAAGATATTAATGAACCCTGTATTTTTATTCAATTTTAGTTTCAATTCATTACATATATTAGTTACTATTTTTTTTTAATATATCTTCGTCCTTATAATTTTTTCAATTATATTGAATTATAGATTAATATCCAGATGAGTGAATTATAATGACCAATATTGAAAAAAAAAAAAGTACAGGTAAGAATTGTTTGTTTTTACCGATATATGAGAAAATAATATTATGGTCAAAGGAATCATATCCATTGAAAGAAAATTTATTATGAGATGGAGAAAGAAAGAATGGATTTTGATTACTGAATTTTATATAAATGCTAAAAAGAATATTTAAATTAAGTTTGATGTACGTAATTACTTACAAAAATTACATTTACATTGTAAGTTTACTAATTTGTGTAGGATTGTTAAGAACCATTTTCACTTACAACATTCCTCTCATTGGAGATTTCCTTATAGTGAAATTAACAATGTTTTGTCTGAAAAGCCTGCAACTTTTTCTTTCTTTTTTTTTTTTTCCATTTCACATTATGCGATTACGTGTTAGGTTTCTCTAAGTTAAACAAATGAAAATCCAAAACACTGCCATTAAAGATTAATGATTGCTTAATTTGAAAACGTAACCCAAAGTGACTTATTTATATATACTGGACCTGGCTAGATTAGCACTCATATTAATTATTTTTTCGTAAGATCATTAGAGACGTAATCAATATTAATTGAATGTTGGGTTATAAACCGCTACCAATTATCTTCCTTTTTTCCTTAGTCACATGGAGTTGCACGTGAAAGTCACATGAGGATAAGATGAAGCCAATTGAAAATGAGTTAGAGTATTAGAATAGAGGGTATCGATAATGAAGGTGAAAGGGGTAGTAGTCAATTTGGTTAGGTCCTTCGTTGTCCCTTTTCTTCATGTAATTGAGTACCTAAGCCATCCTCATTTACCCCCTTTTTTTGGCTTCATCTTCTTCTCTATCATTATGACCACCGTGCCCCTCTACATCCACTGGGTGTGCCATTTTTGTTTATATCATGATGGTATGCATATAGTGGGAGCTAGTATTATATATATATATATACACACACACACACATTGATCCAACAAGGGCACAGCCACTTCACATATATGCTCCTTCAAATAAGTTTGAAACTTGAAGGATATATTATTCTTCTTTTTAATTCTATTATTTGAAAGTTTTAAAATTAATATCGTATATAGTATTGTATATAATTAATTTTACTATCTCTTACTTTTTGTTTTTTCTAAAATATTATTTAAAAAAATACTTTACAAAATAATTTTAAAAAATCTCAAAAGATGTCTCACTTTAAATGTATTTTTTTTCTTTTTTAATTATTTTATATTGTAAGTCCTAACTTGAAAGTAGCTAACAACTATGATGGTAAAAAAAAAATCATGAATCGATTTTAAGCATGTTTGTGTTAATGTTACTAACATTCGAAATCAATGCCGGAAGAAAGTAAAAAGAAAAAAACACTTCCATTCAACGTTCATTGTATTTCATGTCTTGTATATCCATTCATCCATTTTCTTTTCATATTTGTTAATCAAAAGGTTGATTCCAATCGAAGGTGGGTTTTTGAGGCCCTCATGATGCCCTTTTGAACAAGGAATGTTAAGGCATTTGATGGGGAGAAGGACCACTATGCTTCACTCATTTCTTGTATTACTACCACCAAAATACTAGCACTACGGGGAGATGAAGATGTTGTAGTCAACTATGATATCAAGATCTCCCCACATTTTCAAGATGGTTTCATTGACAATCTATATTCTTGGTGTATAATTAATTGGACCACAACTTCAAATACATTAATATCTCTTTTTTCAAACTTAAGAAGCATATTTTTATGGAGTTCCTTTTCTGTATTGTAAGAATTATCCTAAAAATAATTATAAATCTTCCTACCTTTATTCTTATAAATTCTCTTAATTATTAAACGAAGAAAGTATTTAATATGGTTTATGCTTTCAACGTTATAATAAATGAACATTTTTATTTAATACTTACTCTATAAGATAGTAGGAAGATTATTAGGAGGGTATTGCAAAACTCTTACGCTAATAATCTCTCTGTCTCTTTCTCTAAATTGACCCTTCTAAAACGGAAATTGTATTTTAATGAAAGAAAGTGTAAAATTAGTCATTAATAAAAAAAATTAATAGTTAAACATGTAAATAAATCAGATATTGGTCTTGATTTGATGTTAACTGGGGTTCACCTTTTTAATAACTGGTTGTGATCGACTTCACAAACTTAACAATCTAATCTGAATCAACTAATTTTGTTTATGTATTTTCCGATAATTGGTTTTGTGTTCAGATTCATATTATTTTTCCTTTACATATCACTTAGTATCCAACCATGCACCGAATACTTTTTAGCTGTATTTATTATTCAATTTTGTCATCATAGAATGGTCAAATAATTAATAGGAGATAATGGTAGTGACCACTAAATGTTGATTAGCATATCAAATAATGAATGAGAAAGAAGCAGCTAGAAAATTTTAAATTCTACGTGGAAAAGAAAGAGAGGATAACCTGTAAAAATAAGATATGGCACGTAACTGCGTAAGACTCAACAAAGCCTTTCGTAGAATCCATAGCACCGACAAGCTTTGTGGTTAAGATGTAAACATATTTAAATTACATTTTCACTATTATATAAATTATATTAATATTTTAAAATTTTAAAAAAATTCATAACTTGAAAACAACTTGTCTATTCAGATTTTAAAAAAGTTGAACATGATAACTTATCTGAAAATCCATAAGTTGTGTTTTAATTTATG